CATGAAAGCTACCTACAAGTGATCGACTTTGAAGTAGACAAACCAGTGGTTAATGTTATGAGCACCGTTCCATGTTTCTGGGGCACGCTGACATGCTCTGGTTTAAACATATTTTATTGTCCAAAAGACAACAGGATTAGACATGCTCTAAACAAAATGCCATATAACCCGACGAGCATATGTTGCTGGGGACCTATTTCAATCGAGCTGTCGGTCTGGCGATCTGTAAAACATCGAATCTGGGTCACACATTCCCGTGGTTGATATCATGAGCATCGATCCACGCATTTGGGATACGACTTGCATCAGCCAGGTCAGTGAGAATACTCATACGATCCCACCAGACCCTCTTATGACAAGCGACCCGTCATGACCCGTGAAGATCAAGCGACCCGTGAAGATCCGGGGCAGAATAGGTCTGCAGCAACCCATGCTTGCCACAAAAGGTGACTATGCTTGTCGTAAGAGGCGACTAACGGGATCGGGTGGTCAGGCTCGCTGACTTGGTTGACACATGTCATATGTCCCAATTGCGCAGATCGTACTCATGCTGTTGATCACTGGATTGTCTGGTCCAGACTCGATTATTTACAGACCGCCGCCATCTAGCTGGAATATTGCTGAGTGCGGCGTAAAACTAACCTCACTCACTCTTATGACAAGCATGAGCAGCTAAACATCAAATCTGACCCGGATCTTCTCCATCAGCTTTGCAAAAATACACAGAAGAAAATGATCGTCCTGGAGAGATCTCCCTCCCCTCCCTACACCATGTCCTTGAAACTTCTCGATCAAATACACCACACTGTGCTTCGGCAATTCAACGATATTAATCAAATACATTAATTATTTTAATCATCTGGTCTTGCTCTGTTTCTCATCAAAGCACACAGACACAACATTCTTAATTGTTTTGAAATTGTAAGCATTCTTAAATCATGAACGGACACGACTACAACGACTACAACGACAACAACTACACTGACTTGGAGGTTGTGACCAACTTTCATCCGCGAAACGCCTACTTTCAAGACATACTAACATACACTACAGTCATTGATTATCACGTGAACGGTGGCATCCAAACATCTTGGCACAACGTCGGGTAGCCCGGATGAAACAAACCCTGATCTATTCCTAGTGTTGTTTTCATCCAGGTACATAGTAAACAAACACAGTAAGAAAGTTTTTAAGTATGTTTAAGCAAAGCGTTGAACTCTGACAAAAAGAAAGCGTCTCGCCTCGAATACACTACAGCGCAGTAAGAGTAACTGCTCATCCCCAAGTGTTTATGAAGTATCACTACCGACCTCGCTTGTCGAGATAATTTCCTGAACCCGTGGCGGGAAACTTCATCGCTGTTGGCCGTAGTGTGACCTCTCTGACCTTGCACGTGACCCTTGATAAACTGACCACAACGGAGTGTTTGTAAACACATTCCATGACTAGATGCGTGTGAAAATGGAAAGGGTTCGATTTCAGAGATTGTTAAGCGTCTTAATATGCAGTACTGGTATATGCGAATGAAGGTACATGGATCTTTAAGTTATTATTCATTATACATTGAATAACAGTATATTACTTAGACTAACGGTTAGTCTCTGAATACATATAATTTTGATAGTAGCAAATAAACCCATTAAAATTGAAAAGAAGCCCCAGTGAGACCAGAGATTCATAGACTTGCATCATTTAGGGCTTTAGCATTTCAGGGAGAGCTAAGCATTGGGGAAAATAACATGGTTCAGGGACTGTGAGACAGATTATATATACTTGACAAAATAAGTTAGGGATATTGGTATTTTTATGATTGATATTTTATCAATGTGTCAATGAATAAATACATCATTATTCATAATTTCAAAATGTACATATATCCCTAACTATTCTTGTCCAGTATATTACTACTAGACACGTCAACGAGGCCACATGTGTGTATAGCGGATGAGATGAATCTGTGCTAATGACAACAATTACTGTAGTGAATCTGAGGACGTGAGTTTAAAATTAGCTAGGCACGTGGTAATGTTTTTTCTGGACAACCCTAAAATAGATATAACGGAAATTAATGTAATTTGCTCGTGTGTGTTTACAGTCGACCAAAACATTGCTACGTCATCGGAGTGAAATCACGAGCTCTCCGCTCATGCGTGTTTATCTATTTATAGCCACAACTAATAGTACTATCTCGACAACACATCTTGATGCTTTGACCAGCAAACAACCTCAGGTGCGCCGGACGTTATTGTCACGTGACTCAGATTTTCAGCTTACACAAAATCTTGATTAGAAAAACTTGACAACCCATCTTGAGAGTATTGAGCACACATTATGAGACCCACCGTCTACTCCACAGCCCTTTGTGCAATTTTTTGTGTTTCCAGTTTTTGACAGCATGTGTGAGTGTGTGTGCGTGCATTTGTTTTTTGCGGGGTGGTGGTGTGAGCTTTCCAAACATTTCCAATGAGAATTTCAATAATTACTAATTCGGAAAAGTCATAACTGATGCTTTATTAACCATACTTGCAGTATAGCTTGTTCAAGCTTGACAACTTGGTACAAGACGTCCCTCTACAACCGCGTTCTATAACAAACCTCACTCACTCAAGCAACGTTGCACCAATCAGCAGCCAGATTCATTAAAAAGAGCCTTAAAGTACACGACTGTCAATAAAGCCAAATCACGCCATGTCTCGAGTCTTTTCATTTCTGCCGTCCGTACGCCTAATCCAATTTGGCGTTGTCATTCGCCTTCAGCAGTCAATACCACATATAACATGATTACTTAGGACGGCGGCGCACCCTTTCTTCTTACATATGTAAGATACAATTTAGCGAGCAGAGTGGCTGGGCAGATTGTACTTCAAAGCCAAAGTACATTGGTAGTACTATTGGTATCCTTATTGATTAAGCGCTGAGGGCGTATGTTGTGGTCGTCAATGATCACGTCCTTCGTAGCAAAGGTGACTGCGATGGTTGTCAACAGTGTGACCTGGTCACTGGAACGATATTTATCAAAGGCACTCGCATTGACGTATTTTCAAGTGACCATTGATCCACCATTCAGTGAGTGAGTGAGTATGGTTTTACGCCGCCTTTAGCAATATTCCAGCAATAACACGGCGGGGGACACCAGAAATGGGCTTCATACATTGTACCCATGTGGTGAAGCGAACCCGGGCCTTCGGTGCGACGAGCGGACGCTTTAACCACTAAGCTACCCCACGTCCTAAAACGTCATGGATACAGGTGGGTTAACAGGGGTTAAACGTTACATTCAAGACTATTGCACTGCAACATTGCACTGTTCATTAACGCGTAATTACATACGTGTGTATAGGCGGGGTTGGGAGTGGCAGTAGCGGGATGGGTGCGGCAGTAGGTGGATGGGTGTATGCTTCATGAAATAGTCCGGAATAATATCGGCCTTACTGTGCAAGCCCAATGAGTGAGTGGGTGAGTGAGTGAGTGAATGAGTTTAGTTTTACACCGCTTTTAGCAATATTCCAGCAATATCACGGCAATATCAGAAATGGGCTTCACACATTGTACCCAGGTGGGGAATCGAAACTGGGTCTTTGGTGACGAGCGAACGCTTTAACCATAAGGCCACCCAACCCCCACTAGGTTAGGTACAATACGTGTCAAGCAACAATATATACATATTTGAATTGGCGTAACAATCACATACAATTGCACCACAAATATGTCAAATGATCCACCGTCTGAATTCAAATGTACATTTTTGAAAATTCGACAAAGCGCCCCTTCTGCTTGGAGTTTGACCTTGGTTCCCTTTGATATCAGCAACCCGTTCCACTATCATTCAGTGCAGAACATCGAACAAAAGTCCTTTTAGCGGACATTCATCAATGGACTTTCAAGAGAAATTCGTTCAGCATGCACCTAAAATGCACCCACGTTATTCTGAGCACTTTGTAAGCACCTGTTGTCGACGTAAGGCACCTTAGCAGACGACAATACCAAGAGACATTCGTCAACATGCACCAAAAATGTACCCGTGTCAAAGAGGGGGGACTTTGTAAGCACCTGCTGTAGAAGTCAAGCACCCGGGCAGACGACATAATACTGATGGTGGCTCTTCAGGCTGCGGGATGGCATGTGCACACTAGAATCGTCTGAGCCTGACGAGATGAATTTGAACAGGTTCACTCAATGACTGCCGTTTCGTACCGCACAGGATGCAGGAGGTCCCGATGGAGGGCGGTGTGGAGTTTGTGGGGTGTGGAGGGCGGGTGTTTGAGTACAGGGGTACTCAGTGTGCGAAATAGTTTCCGATTTTTGCTAGCCAGTCGGGCTATCTATGCCTGAAAGTTACTAGCCCACAAAATAATTCACTAGTTCGAAATTTGAATGTAGACACCGGTTTCATCATTAAGCTGCTAATAGGAACATTTTTATCAGGCTATAATCTTGTATGATTTAAAAGTGTATTTTGACTTAACAAGTCGGAAGAATGATATATTTACTAAATGTCCCAATGAAAATTCATTAGCCAGTCGGGCCAGTGACTGGAGATTTACTAGAACGACTGGATTTTTACTAGCCACGGGCTAGCGGGTCAGTGGCCAATACGCATACTGCAAGGGTACTAACCCGCATTTGCACGGGTACGGAACGGAATGGAGTAACGGGTCTTCAGTATGACAACTTTCGCTTTCAACCACTAAATATGCAAACTTTATTACATGAACCAGAGATCTATTATGAACTAAGGGTATCACTGCCAGTATTTCGAACGCCAATACTTCCAAGAATTCCACACACGCTACACATTTACTGTCCCGAATGTTTTATAAGAAAATCAATTTTTGTCTAGACTCTAGGAATACTCGCTATCAGAAGCGCGGAAAATTCCCAAGCAAGCTGACCTGGTCCGTGATAATGGAAAAGTCCCATGCACTTCTAGGACCTGGAGAAGCGCCACCTAGTGCTAGTCGGTGAACCTAATGCAGGTGCACGCTCGCGAGTTCGAACGTTGCACGTTATGCAGTCCGTCGCTTAATAATTCATGGCATGCAGGAGTATCGATCTGTTCAGGGCTTCTGTGCTGGGATTGCATCACCGTCATCACAAATGCCCCGCTGTCGTTAGAATCTTCCACGAAAACATGCTATCCCGGAATCTACACTGTCTGGCCATTGCTGAAAACTCAAAATTGGTTAAACCGACACTTGCAGCCAGAAGAGTGAGTGAATATGGTTTTACGCCGCGTTTAGCAATATTCCAGCTATATCACAGCGGGGGACACCAGAAATGGGCTTCACTCATTGTACCCATGTGGGGAATCGAACCCGGGTCTTTGGCGTGACTAGCGAACGCTTTAACCACTAGGCTACCCCATCGCCCCCTTTCATCTAGAAGAGAACCAATACACGACATGTGTCTGTTCAAAGCCACCATGGGTTAGACAGGAAGGGGTATAAGAGCAGATATTCAATAGCTAGAATGTGATGTCCAGCTATATCTACACGGTCAGTTAATAGTCCAGCTGATGTAATGGTTGATAACATGAGCAATCATGAGCAACGATGTAATCTTATTGGATAAGACATTCTTCTCCGAGATATTCTTGGAGTCCATCATGCCTTATGCTTCAAGAGTAGAAGAAGTGAAGTAGATTGTGTTTGTAACGCCACATTTCGCAATATTCCTGTGATATAACGGCATATGTAAGACACACCAGAGATGGTCACCATTAGCAACTGGATACAACGATACACAATCAACAATGACATCTAGCCCGACTACCTGATCAATCAGGTTGGGTTTTTGGCAAAACAGGATTTTCATTAAAACGCCGTAGTTTCTTCAAAGGATGAGATGAAATAGCAATAGTAATATTTGAAGCAGTAGATGTGGTATAGACGTAGTAGTAGTAGTAAGCGTTGTAGTTGTAGTAGTATCAACATCAGCAGCAGTAGTTGTGGTGGCAGCATAGTAGTAGTAAATGTTGCAGTAGTTGTAGTTGTGGTAGTAGTAGTTGTAGTAGTAGTAGTAGTAGTAGTAGTAGTAGTAGTAGTAGTAGTAGTAGTAGTAGTTGCAGCAGTAGGGGGAGAAGGAGCAGTGGGAATATGTACAGTTATATTCTTTTTGTCAACATGGAAGCTTTGATACAATCCTATTACTCAATAAACATATAAATCTATTTCAGTTCCGTGTTGTAAGGCCATGTACATTTATGGCGCCATCATCCGTGTTTATTTCCACGCTATAAAGCTGCTTCTGTAACACGCGGTCGATAGCCGAGCGTCCACATGCCGCCGAGTGGAAAGGTGTGGACGTGCACCAACTGTGCCACACTCTGCTGACCTCAGAACGTACCTGGATTGCACCTGTATTATCGATCACCTGTAGCTTCAACTGTCTTCCCAATCACTACGACTTGTGATCAGTCTCGCGGAACACCCAAGGGCGACGTGTCATGTGACAGACTACGCATGCCCTTCACGCACGCGATTATGACGTAGGGGATTAATGGACGGGTGTGTTATTCTTCTTATCGTGTATATCAGTGTTGGAAAACAGTATACATGCAACCACAGATATGTTTACATTCTTGAAACAGAAATAAATAAAACAACATACCACAAGGTCGTATGTAGTTTGTTTTCTGACTAATGGCCTGAGCGTCTTTTCCACTCCTACTACTCTCACATGAGTGAGTGAGTATGGTTTTACGCCGCTTTTAGTAATTTTCCAGCAAGATCACGGCGGGGGATACAAGAAATGCGCTTCAAACATTGTACCCATGTTGGGAATCGAACCTGGGTCTTCGGCGTGGCGAGCAAAACTCTCACAGGACGCAGTTGTAGTTTGGTCAAATTGTTCTTTTAACGACAGTGTACCAGTGAAAGAGTGAGTGAGTTGGGTTTTACGCCGTTTTTAGCAATATTCCAGCAATATCACGGCGGGGGACACCAGAAATGAGTTTCACACATTGCCCCTCTAACAATACGCTTATCTAGACTTGACTCTGTAAAGGATGGAAATTCTATATACCCATGGGATTAGCATTCGGTACAGCCTTGGAGCAAGGCTAGTGAACACAAACCAGTAGATCCGGGTCTTCGGCGTGACGAGTCACAGCGAATTGCGTGCCAAACATGTCCTTCCGGTTCCAGACCAGACGTAACAAACCACCCTGCAATTGATCAGTTATCCACGATGTTGGAACGATAACACACCATACCTTTCAATCTTAATAACGTTACTGGGTATTGGAGAAATAGTCAGGTCTAGTCAAAAACAAATGGTGCATTTCTCACCGACCATGCTGGGAAACACGAAGCAGCGACCGTTGATTGAACCCTTAGTTCCTAAAATATACTGAGGGAAACAAATAAGGGAACACCACTTCATGGCAATGTTCCTTTATTTATTCTCAGATTTCCTCCCACAGCGCTATCCAAAGCTGGTGATGAAAACCGGAAAATATTAAAGGAACGCTTGAATTTTCCTGTGTTCCTTTATTTGTTTCGCTCAGTATATATAATTTTGATAGAAACAAACAGCTCCATTTAAATCGAAAATGAGCCCCAGTGAGATAGGAGATTCAGAACCTAAGGAAAAAATCTACAGTTGATTCATTTTGGGGCGAGACGACTGAAGGGAAAATAAATGGTTCAAGGACTTTCGAACCTCAGGCTGTTGGGCGTATTGGATGACGGGAAAATATCATGTCGACAGACACTTTGGAAAAACGGTAATACGTTGTGTTGAATTACAGACGTTCCGTGTCCTTTAGTAATGGTAAACAGACCTATTGGATTTAATGGAATCCACAGATCAAAGATGGCCGACAAAGCATATTTTGTCATCAACACAACATGGAATCAATGTGGAACAGAAACCTATGATCGGATCCAGTAATTAATGATCCACCTTCATTATATCAAGATCTTGTGGCGTGTCATATTAGCCGGTTAATAACATTCTACTGAGAATAGGTTGACGCCAATATGATGATGATTAATTCTGCTTCCAATCGGGTGTCGTCTGCCGTGTCGTGTGCTACTATTACCCACACAACTACGAGCTGTGTTAGCATGTCACGCGACATCTATCCGTATGTTGAACATTTTAATGATACTAATGAGTATTTATAAAGCGCTTTATTATATAGGTAGTATTTTTCCTGTACCATGATTGGTCAAAAGACCGTCACATGATTGACTACAAAACACGATATTGACTTGAGTTTTCTGATAAATTACGATATTGACTTGGGTTACTAAAAATAGACAAGGAATCCCGTACGAAGGGGCTTCCCCCCGCTTTTCAGCCAATCAGATCACTCGGATAGATGGCACAGTGTTTGCATTAAAAGTTTATGTTAAAACCCGTTTCTCTTTCATTATATAATAAAACAATTATAGACTCTTGTAGAGGTCGATATCGGTTTTTATTGACCTGAGAAAAACAATATCGACCTCTACAAGAGTCTATAATTGTATAGTATCCATCCGCAAGGAGCATGCTCGAAGCGCATAAAATGAGAGAAAAGACACAGGTAGTGAAATAATAGTATGAAAAGAAAGGAGAAAATGTCTATGAATTAAAGTTCATGAATGATATAGGGTGAAATAAAGTATATGAATAATGGCCTGAAAATAGTTGCGTCTTGAGTTTTGATTTGAATACAGGTAATGATGATGACAGTTTGATGTCCAGAGGAAGTTTGTTCCATAGTCGAGGAGCTGCGTGGCTAAAAGACTAATCTGGTAAGATTATACTTTGGTGTGTTCAGAAGCTTCAGATTTTGAGATCGAAGAATCTTTATAGACACATACACATACGAAGAACCAACCTGTTTTGCCAAGTAGTGGAGAAGGAAATGCTGAGGTAAACTGTATCCATTTTTAATGTTTATTGTTCAGGTTCAAGGTAAGGTGGTCAACGTGGTGAAAAGAGGTCAGGTGAAAGTGGCGTGCATATATGTGTGTGCGTGTGCGTGTGGGTGTGCAACTGCTTGTAGAAGCCAGAACTAATGCCGGTTTGTAGCCATAGCGCACTGTTATCACAGATTAACATTTGTACCCCAGCTGACACGGTATCCTAATTCCAGCAGGACCCGGGGAGATGTGGGTGAGAACTAATCTTCAGTAACCCATGCTTGTCGTAAGAGGCGATTAACGGGATCGGGTGGTCAGGCTCGCTGTCTTGGTTGACACATGTGATGCATCCCAATTGCGTAGATCGATGCTCGTGCTATTGATCATTGGATTGTCGATTATTTACAGACCGCCGCCATATGGAAAGAATATTGCTTAGTGTGGCGTTAAACAACAAACCAACCAAAAAGTCCAACAAATCTGTTTTATCCCGTTCATGCCGTGCGTAAGGCAGGGCAACAACAAGCAACATAATTCAACGTCTTTCAGTCGGACGCAGCTGGGGATCGAACCGCTAACTTTCCGCTCTTCAGACACGCCCACCCAAAGAGACGGTAGTTCTTTAAAAAAATTAAAAACCCAATCCAAGATAAAAAAAATTCGTAGGATGAGTGTATGGTGAAGAGTCTTAAGCCGCCATTTCCTTAAGATTTCATCAGCCAAATTGCTGGACCTATTTCAGAACGGTCACAAGATCTGCTTCCAGCTCGACATTTCTCTTCCACACTCACGTGAAAGGATTCCTTAATATAGAACAAGTTAATACTTCGGCAGTGTTGTGACGATGTGCGTAGGTGTACGACCTTCCAGCCGAGGCTGCTTCCAGGACAGAAACCTTGGAAACGACAGCAGGCACGTGATAATAGAGAACATGTTGAGTCCTTCAAAGCAGCTATTGCCTTGCGCAGCTACTGAAGATTATCGGGTTAAAATTATCTTGACTGAAGGAATGTGTTAGGTTGACCTGTGCAGATATAGCTTTCGTTTCAGTTTACAGAAAAGGTTTTGTAGATGTTACGAAACAGTAAATGACCATTGTAGTTTTTATATTATTCAGCAACGTCATTTTTAGAGTCTTAACACTTGAGTATTTTATAGCACTATAACCTATGTCATAATATATGAGACAAAATATACAAAGTTCTATTAATGTCGCTCTATTCAGACAATAAACAGGATTGGTAAACTGCTTTAGGTCAATAGACCAATACATGCTATCAGTTTGCTTAACAACATAAACACAGCATTGTTCCAATTCCGAAACGAGGCTATGGTGGAGAATGGTTCCTTGTTGCGGGTTGGAATCGGTCTTCGGGGAGCTGTGCTTGCACCCCCATGAAGATCCGGGTTAGATGTGGTCTTCAGGGAGCTGTGCTTCCACCCCATGAAGATCCGGGTTAGAAATGGTGTTTATCAACCTACGCTTGCACCCCAATGAAGATCCGGGGTAGAAGTGGTCTTCAGGGAGCTGTGCTTCCATCCCCATGAAGATCCGGGTTAGAAGTGGTGTTTATCAACCTACGCTTGCACCCCAGTGAAGATCTGGGTTAGAAGTGATCCTCAGGGAGCTGTGCTTGCACCCCTATCAAAATACGGTTTAGAAGTGATCATCAGGGGGCTGTGCTTGCACCCCCATGAAGATCCGGGTTAGAAGTGGTGTTTATCAACCTACGCTTGCACCCCAGTGAAGATCCGGGTTAAACGTGGTCTTCAGCTACCAATATACTTGCACCCCAATGAAGATCTGGGTTAGAAGTGGTGTTTAGCAACACATGCTTGTACCCTAATGACGATCAGGGCCCCGTTTCACAAAGCTCTCGTAAGCCCAAGATCTCGTAACTTTTCTCGTAGCAATCGTACCTCATATACTGGGCCTAGATTTTCGAAGCTCTCGTAGCGCTAAGATAGTCGTAAGTTACTGTTAATGTATGGCACTTACGACTATCTTAGCGCTAAGAGAGCTTCGAAAATCTAGGCCCAGTAGCATAGACTTACGACAGTCGTAGCGCTACGATAGCTTTGTGGGTTAGAAGTGGTCTTCTCTTCAGAGGCAATTAACGGGATCGGGTGTTCAGGCTCACTGATGTGATAGTAATAGCATAGCATGTCATCATATCCACACTACGTGCATCGATGGTCAAGATGTCAATCACCAAGATGTTTGGTCTTGTCTCGATTATTTACAGACTGCCGTCACATAGCTGGAACATTGCTAAGAGTGGCGTTCAATAACAAACAAACAAAAACATCATAACAGAACGGTGATCACCACTCAGGACAATAAGGGATGTTCTGCTTGCCACCTGTTTAAGGGCAGGATGCGCCCTAGCATTACCTTTGCTTGTGTACAGGTGAGAATTCCGGAACAAAACACATGTGAAAGGAAGGAACACGTGTGTACCCTGCGTAGACAAATTATATGAGGTACCAGCCCAATACAGACAGGGGTTCGGGTTTCATGAAGCGAGTATTCGGGAGTGAGGGAGTGAGTGAGTTTAGTTTTACGCCGCTTTTAGCAACAGTCATTCCAGCACTACTGACGAGCAATCCACTGGGCTACCACACCGCCCCCTGGACTAAGTAGTGTGGTAATATATCACATTTGGTACGCAGATTCAACAGTTTATGAAAATAAACCATTAGTTTTTGCAAGATGTTCCTATATTAATTCTACATATTTCCATCATGTAATATATTTTTGT